GAAATATTCGTGTTTAATAAATTATGTTCCAAAAATACGTCAACTTGACTTTTGTTTTCATTGTCATCACTTTCACCAATATATTTGTTATGGAACAACGTGCTACATCATTTCACAATGATACATCTATATATATATATATATATATGTGTGTGTGTATGTAGTATGTGTGGTTGGCTGAAACATGTCTTGCAAGACGAGTGCGAGTGCTGAATGTAAAAACAAAGCAATATAAATAATCAGAATGACTCTAAGTCAAGAACTCAGCATTTTATTGCACTACAGGCTATTTCATGAGGGGTCTACAATCATTAGGTATGTGCGTGTGCCAGCTTAGTTTTTAAATTAACCAGTGTTATTCTCCAAATTCTATATAATCTCAACATGTCCATTTCTATGTCACTTATTGACAGGTATTTGAGAAAAGGTCATGGTTCATATATTTTGGATTTCCATGTACTGTACACATTCTGTACCAATTTTTTAAAGTATCATAGGCTTATTTTCCAATTTCATATATGTTCACCTTCTCATGCTCAAATCATGTATTGCTGCTGTAGCAGAGTATGAAAAGATTGACAATTCCACTAAGCAACACCCATGGATATTGTTGCTAAAATCTTACAAAATGACAGCATAAACTTGTACATAAACTTTTATGTGTGTAGGAAGTGTGAATATTCCTGGCTGTCAATCAAAATGTTTTGGCTTTGATTTTTGTTTTGATTTGTCAGTTGTTCAGTCTGATTGACACTTTGGAAAGGTCAATATATATGCAGGCCAACAAGGAGCCCATACATGACAATAATGCAAACAATTTCCTCAAGGTCAAAAACAATCAAGCACAAAACCACATCAATAGCTTCCAGAATCAACAAGTATTTATGAATTTACAAGATCACACTTTTTTTTAAAATGTTCTGTTCAGATTTTTTGTTGAGGTGGACCTTCAACGATTCCAAGACATGCATCTGCAAACTCGGTAAAAATTGGTTCCTGCATTGCCTGGCTTATCCCAGTAATTTTGTCATTTGTTGAGTCCAAGTTTAGCAACATATTTCGAAGATGAGGGTTTTCAAGTTGTTTAATTATTGTGCTTGATTTCTCTGAAAAGAAAAACGATTTCAGGATTTATAGTGTGAATGTAAATGCAAATGGAGTTTAAAGTTTAAAAGAAAAAATTTACTTTCTAAATACAATGATAAAAAAAAAAACACAAGAAAAAAAATCACTTTAGGTACAAACTATGTAATCATTGAATAATAGTTTTATATGAAGTATATGAGGGTTCAAGCATTATAAGCTATGATAATGTTAAATATATAATCATCATCACTACATTATTTTTTGGTGGCCAAGTTGTAAGACTGTTAAAAAGGATGGGCTTGCACTAGATAATAGGGTGCTTCCAATTTGGTTGACAAAGCGATGCTAGAATGAAATGCCAAATTGCATCCTAGAATCCACGCGATGAGAACTCGCATGCGCAAATACCTTTTAGTGACGTCATTACGTTCTACATTCTATCGTTGTCATGCAACTGAAAGCTCCTTACTACTGTATTAACAATATAAATTACTTACCTAACAATGTTAATTTTTCATCAGGTACTTTATCTTCAATCTCTATATCATTTTCTTCTTTTTCTAAAATGATTAAATATTGAACATTTTCAATTATTTATGTACAGTATTTTGGTATTGACAAATATCTAAAGGCAGGAGTCCAAACTGCAATGTCACATTTAACAATCACAAAATTCAACAGAGACCACTATTACATAAATATTGTATGACTCTTTTGCACAGTCAATTGCGGAATGAGACGAGACAATGGACCTGTGGTATAAAAAGAGACATAAGTTCTAGACAAGAAGATTATTTTTAAAGTTGAAAGCAAGAAATATGTATTCAATTTTTAAAATAACAATAATTTTCAATTTTGTATAGGATTTACTTATGAAATATTTTGTTGAATAAATATTATTAAAATTATTTTAAAAAATTAAGAAACTGTTCAGAATGTACTAAATGTGTTATTATTTTACTACCATAAAAATGCATGGAAATAAATTAATAAAACTAGTAGCATGAATTAATTGGCACTTGAGAAAATACCTAAAAAAAATAAGATGAATAGAGGTAGTGAAATTTAATTTTTAAAAATACCAACAATAACAATAAAAAGATAATCAGAGATTTCAAACCCAAAACACTCCGCTCGAGTAGACTTTGTCAGCTGTTGCGGCCAGAAAATATATAAATAACATTCTAAAATCTGCATCTTACTTCTGGTCAGCATCGATTTGAGGACCAAGATACACATATGTGAGAATTTGCAGTAAATCGGTCCAGTAATTTTTGAGTTGCATCCAGAAGGACACACACACCCCACACATAGACGTGCGCTATTGCAATACCTCACCTCTCCTTCGGAGGCATTACGTTTCAAAGCTCTGCTTCTTGTGGTGGCCATTTTTCAAATTTAAATTTGATTTTCTTTGATTTGCTAATATATATATTTGGAAATGGTAATAATTATATACCAGTACCTTGCTTTTCAACTACGAGATTGGTTGTACTAATTGCTGGTGGTTTGTCCTTGATTGATACTTGTGTACAAGACTCTGGGGAAAAAATAAATATTTGTTATTTATTCTGAATAATATCAATGGTAGCATGATATATTGATATCTGAACAGGGTCCCAATCCAATACCCAATCTCTGACTTATAATATTAAGTACTGTATTAGCACAATGGAAAGGAGATAGCAGTGGTCGCTCCAGCATTTCCCCCTGTTGGACTGGCCTGGACACCCTGTTAATTTGCCTGCTCAATTAACATTATTTTGATTGCCAGTCTGTAATGTTGTGGTCTGAAAGCACAATCTGGAGATTTTTTTTAAAATCTTAAAAAAATCTGGAGATTTCCATAATTAACCAAAAGATGATGCAAGATACCAAAAAAGTCATGTCACTACAAATTATTGGCCGTTAATGGCGACATTTGAATTGAAAATGGCTGCTTGTGTATGCCTTAAATACATTAAATAATAACGATCAAATCAATCAAATTATGCATAAATTGGAGTATTTTTGGGGAGGTGGGGTGGCCTGTGAAATCGGGTGAAAATTACATTCGATTGGGAGAACTGGTAATTTGTTTAAATTTCGGGTGACCGACAGGATCAGGTGAGTTGGCAGGTCTGTTACAATGTTGTGTGAACGTTATTTTGTGACATACCTAACCACAACGTCCGCAAACATTATAAGAATGTTTTGTGTTTGCTGGGTTATTCGTGGACTCGTACAGGCTCTAGTCAGCCCCTTGTTTTGGACCCCCCGTCGGACCACTTGTCAGCAAATTTCTGGAGCCACCTATTTATAATATGCTCATAGATCGTTACTGCACAAGGGGATTATTTTCTCTGGAATCCCACTGGCAACAGTGTACCCAAAGAAGAAGACTTCAATCGGTAGCACGCCTGCTGCCCATTTAGGAAATATTGAATTCACTACTGCTTCTCACCTTTGTGCTTCTTGCAACATGTGACTGAACAACTGAAAGAAATAGAAAATTTATTTATATTTATTTATTTTATTTCAACAAAATTTTGTGAAGGTGCTCCATCCAGTGTCATTAGCAAAAATGACGCAGAGTTAACATCCAGGCATATGACTCCATTATTTAGTCTTTCAAACGATAAGGTCAAAATAGGCTTTAGTTAGGCCTTTCATGTTGTATGTCTACTCCCTGGTTCGGGCGCTGGTCTAACCACAGTCAGGGCCTAGCGGTCACAAAGGAGGGGGCACATGTCCACTTCCAAGAAGCCTCCACTGCTGCAACAACAGTGTCGACCCGGCCTACGCCTACCTACCACGGCTTAACTTACTATTTATGGTAGCATTTTGGACACTTATATTTTGAATCGGAAGCACCACATTCTATACACTCCTTGGTTTCCATTTTCACACAAGATGACTTTAATTGAACAACAACTCATACAACATCATGCCCTCTTCAATAGGTAGGTGAACTCTAACCCAAAACACAAACACGTGTTGTTAATTTCGTGACTGTACACAGAATCCGGATTCGACCATTTCAAATCGGAAACCAGTACAGTATTTCGATCAATTTCAATAAATAAATTTGAAATTTTTGACCGCTATCGTATTTAGTGTGTCGTTTTAACGGTAAACTACATGAACTATGAACATTTTAAGCAGTTCCATGTAAACAGAGTTATATAATAATTTAATTTGTGATTTTAGAAAAATAGTTCTGTCCAGAACCACGGGATTTCCCTTTGTTTTGTGTAGCGTTTTAAAGATGGCGTCGACCTGCGAACTTGATCGAGAAAACAGTAAACATATTAACAGCATAGTGTCTGTTCTTGTATATCAGAGTCGTGCATCAAAGTTTCTGTTAACTCGTTGTCCAAATACGACATCGTGGACATTTCCATACGAAGGAATTGATCAATATTGTCAAGAATTCAAGACCACTGGAAAACGTGTACTGGAGGTAGGCTAGGCTAGCTAGGCCTTTCCTTTAGGCCCCTACTAGCTAGGAGATAAAGGCTAGCATCTCTGCTGCTGCTGGCTTTGCTAGCAAGCGAATAACCCCCACCCCAGGCAAGGCCTAGTAGAAGGGACTCCGGATAGAAGAGGCGTAGAGCCAAAGCTTAGGTCAAATAAGCCTAGCTTGGCCTAGGCCTGGCTTAGTAAGCAGGTGTTAAAGTGAAAAAAATTACATAAGTACAAAGTGTTTATTATTGTTTGTGCTATTTTTGCCTATCCCTGGAGTGCGCCCTCAGTAATCATCATAAAAATGGTGTGTAAACAAATAGGTTTTCCACAAATATCTACAGCCTAAATACTATATTTTAAACACCGTGGCTAGAGATACGGTCCCATATCTCAACTTCCGTTTGTTAAGGTTGGTAAATTGCATTATCCAATAAAATGCCGCTAACAGCCTGACAACATCGCTCTAAAATTGCTGGCTGTGAGCCTGCTTTCCTGTCGAGTTGTTATATACTAAAGTGACTTATGACGTCAAGCTCACGGACCACAAAACAAGTACATAATTGAGCAACTCGCCAACAATTAATACAGTAAATAAAATTTAAAATGCGACTACTACAGAAAAATTAATGGCAATCAGCTATCACATATTCCATAAAGTAAACCAACAATGGAGAACTGTTAACTTACTAGTCACTATAATATGTAACACGTTTACTGCACAATGGCCAAGAACAATCGTATGACTCAAGAAAGGATAGTTATAATCACAGATCATATACAGTATAGGGTCTAAATATAATTAATTTTACCTTTTCCTGGTATAGCATTTGACCTGAAATAAATGTGAAAGTATTCTATATTACTTTTTAGTTTTTGATTAGATTAAGTTTCTTTTTTTTAATATTAATTAATTATCACATCATTTAAAAGGGTCAATGTAATTCCTTCCATCTCATTTTCATATTTCATGCATTTTTATAGGCATACTTAACCTAACCTCAGTGAGCAATTTCACAAGTCTTCATAAAAAATGACGTCACACCGGCGGCAGCATTTTATCGGATGATGCAGTTTACCGTACCTTTAGCAAACGAAAGATAAGATACGGTACCATATCCCTAGCCATGGCGTATTTTTAATATAATATGAAACAATATTAGTTATTATTACATTCCGTAACCGAAAATAGGGCCTAGGCCTAGACAGCCGAGAGAGTAGTAGGCATTAGAAGGGTGTTTTTCCGGAATATAATTGGTGGAGGCAATGAAAATGAGCAGGAATTTTCTCACCTCAGCATATACTATCGTTAGACTGAGGTCGATGTGGAGTGTCACACACCACCACTAGTCAAGTCCTCATGCATCTGCCCCACCTTATGTTTTCACTGTTTGTTAGAGTGTACTAGAGAAACAACACTGACAGTTCATTTTGTCAGTAAAGTTATAGTTCAATAATTAACAAAAAACAAATTATGTTTAGTCTCTAGCAGTTGGAGGTAGACTTGAGGCTGTGGTACAAATTCGTCATGTATTGTTTCCGAAACAACATCCATCAAAACTCAAGTTTAGCTTTCTTGCAAAAGTTGAATATATTGTGGAAGACAGCACTGCCTCTATTCCTCCAGCTGTCACCTGGGCAACCCGAGATGACATGAGAAAAATGCTGACAGAAGGGTCTATCTCACCAGAGGTTTTTGACCTTACCCGCAGAGTTGTTGATGGTAAGGATCTTTTAATATAAAAAATTAATATTACAGTATTCAAAATGTTAATAATTTTTATATTGTGTACATAGAGTATCCATAAATCCTAATAATTCACATTATTATTTCATTCACAACTGTTTATAAATTGTATATTGAGTACATTTAGGACAGTAGGCCCAATACATTGAGCATACAAAGCACTCTAACCATTTCTGTACTAGTACACATTGGCATTCAGAAAAGGTCTCTACTTTCAGGATACAGAAGAACTTCACTTCCTACCCAGTTCTACAGAAGTACCATATATTCTCGCATAAATAATGAGACTCGAGGCTTGAAATAGCAAATTACGATCGAAAGACAGGAGGTTATCTTATACGAGCAACATACGCAAATTTTTGATTTTTAAATCATTTTCGTCATCAGATCGCCTGTAACATGCAAATTCACTACTGAAGTGAAGCTACTAGCTGTTAGTATTCAAATTAATGCAATTTTAAATGGGGAAAATAAGGTTTGAACATTTAAAAGCCCATTAAATTGTGTTATTTGGAAGATTAGCCTAAATTTGGCTTTGTATTTAGCCAGCTAGATGCAGTATCAAGACCATAAAAAGCAGAAAAATGTAGGAATAGACCTTTCCGCTAAGCCCCGCCCCTTGGATATTGTTGCTAAGGTCCCACAAGACGACAGTTAAAACCTACGAGAACACGTGCGTTTGTGGGACAACACATGTTTTTGTGAGACGCGCGCGTATTCCTAGCGCTGTTCTGATTAGTCAGTTGTTAAGTTTGATTGACACTCCAGAAAGGTCTATTAAGGGGTCGTCTAATACGTGCGACATACAAAAATCATCCAAAAATCTTTTCAAACTCGCGGGTCATCTTATACGTAGATTGACTTATACGCAAAAATATATGGTACATTAAATTCAGCACATATCTCTACTTTCAAAATGCAAGAATTTTACAAAATGTGGCTATGGCGGCTGCAAGTTGTTTAATGTCGACCGAATGGCGATTGTAAATTATTCCAAATCGCTTGGAAAATGACCTTAGTTTTATTGTTATTATCAGAATGGTTTGCTAATGTTCCAAAAGATACTGGCCTCAAAAATATTATCTATATGTTTTCAAGAATTGCTATTTGAAAGATCAAAATCATTTTGTTCTCCTTGGTAAAATAATATATTTCAGAAAAAAAGAGCCTTAACTTAGAGTTTTGATATCATCAATTCAATCAAGCTTGGGAACATAAAGTATTCTTTTATGACCGTATCTAAATTATAATGCCAAGTCAATCTTTAATATTCCAATTACAGGTTTTTTTTTGTAAATTCATGTGAAAATTACGTGAATTGAATTCATAATTTTCATTTATTAATTTATTCATGTCCGTACCTTGAATGTAGATTGTTTTTTTATTTGGCTTTTTATGTGTATACTAATCTATATTTTTATTACCTTGTTTTGCATGTTTTGTCATTCTCAGGAACTCCTGTCCATTGTCATACGATACAATACATTACACTAGTGTAAGCAGGCAGTGTCTGCAAATCTCTGTTGAGAATTACTGTTTTCCAGAAAGTTTGAAATGCACACTTGATTGGGAACTCATCAGTTTCATTGTAGGCCTAGCTCAGAAGAAATGCATATTTGATTGAACAGGCCTGCATTTCATAATTGTGCCTTGAGCATATAGGTTAATTATGCACAATCGTATTTTAAGAGTATGTTCAGACTTGATTTTCATAGGCATCGTTATTAGCATATTTCATCGTAGCCTGGGGTATCGCTTATATCATCATTTATCACAGTGTTAACAATCAGCTTGTCACGTTCATGTATTTATTGATGATAATGTAAGTTGTGTACTGTCACGATATTGTGTTTTATGTTTAGATGTTAATAGATTCATCACTGTACTGTTTTATGTTAATTAATATATTTAATTTGCTTGCATTCACTGTGCTCTTCAGCTCTGGTCCAGTAACATTACAAATGTCTTCTGTTCTTCAGAAATTCAAATTTGTGTACAAATATAATAAAACTTCAATAGATGCGCTGTACTTTATGCTTTCTAGTACCGGTACCATTTATGTCCATTGAAATTCAAAGGCATGTCTTCCATTGTACTTGTAAGCCATACTGTCTTCCTTGACACTCTGCCATGGAAAATTGTATGCTCATTCCTGTAACAATGAAGTTGTAGCACCAGCTGGTGTTCGAAAGGTACAGCACTAATTTCTCCCATCACACTCTACTTGAGGCCATCACAATAAAAATAATTATCAACCTTGGTTTCTTTACCTTCCGTTTTCCCACCAAATTTTCCTTTGGAGGCTTCATATTTTTTAAAACTTGCTTGTGTTGTCTTTATTTGCTCAAATTTATAAGTCTTGTCTATCACCAAGTTTGAAGCATTGTTTTTTTTTCAAATTGCAATTTAGAGCACTGTGATTATAATTGAATTATATTATTATTATTATTATTGTTATTAATATTATTATTATTATTATTATTATTATTATTATTATTATTATTATTAAAAAAAAAAAAAAAAAAATTACTATTACTATTATTACTATTACTATTATTACTATTACTATTATTACTATTACTATTACTATTACTATTACTATTACTATTAC